ATCCTACTCACCATCCACACTAATGAGTGATTACAGTTTTTCTCATTTGCTAAAACCCATTTGCTGAACAAAGTTCACAGTTCCCTGAACTCATTTAGCTAATTGTGCAGTCTGTTGTCAATACCTTAAACCATTCGACATGGTAAAACACAATCTGCAGATCTCACGTAGACTTTTCAGCAGAACTCAAAACACATTCTGCACTCTAATGCACATGTCGTCCATATTGGTAAACACAAGTGGCAACAATCAAATACAAATAGAGAACACATGTCATTGATCAAACACAACCACTCAAAATTGATTTCACTTGTTTCAAATCATGTGACACAACCAATATAAGCCAGTTCAGAGAGCAAACAGGTTGTTGAAGGTGGGACGGAGAAATTGTCCAGCCCTGAACATTGTGCTTTCCATTTGTTTACAGCACTGACTGCTCAATAGATTTTGACTGGCTGCACAGAAATAAAGGACAATTTTGTCAGATGCAGGGTAGAGTACTGTAAAAATTGGAGGAGGAGGAAGAACAAAAAAAAATGCAAAGAGCAAAGCAGAGTATAATTTCTGATAAATTTTGAGCTACTTTGATGAGATTAAAAATGCACTTCTCCCTGAGAACTATATGTTTTGTACTTGTTTTTGTTTTCTATTTTTTGGTGTATTTCTTACTGACTCATTTTGATCGCTTTGTTTATGATTTGAGAGCAGTGTTTGGTTTTGAGAACAGGTACAACTGTTTTGAGGCAAAAGTTTCATTTTGCACGAGGAGTCAGATGTTTTGTAAATAGTGCTTGAAGCTGAGGTTTTGTGATGAATGTTTTCAGGAAATGGGGCAAGGTTTCAGAAACTGTGTTTTAGCAATTGAGAAAAACTGTAATGCGACCACACAACACTTTCACTCTCATAATATTTATAAGACCTTGACAAAGCCTACAAAATAAGAAACATGGCATTAATATAAAATAACTTTGTAAATACTGTTGTAGGCCAACAATCGGATTTATAGGGGGAAATGCTTATAGCTGTTTTACAATCTTTCTAAAGTGTGTTCATGAAACAAATATGATTTATTGTTCGTGAACGCACCACAGATTCAGCTACTGCCCATACAGCCAATGGGACGGCGTGACAAGATCCGTGGAACCAGGCCCTTTTTTTCACTAGAGCCACTGCCCCCCAAAATGTCTGTGCACGTCTCTGGCAGGATCCGTGGAAATAGACCCCAAAGCAGCATTTTTGTGCCGCTGCCAGCTTCAGGTGTGCTGGAAGCAGCATGAATGTTGACAGGCCTACGTGTCCTGCGTCTCTGACACGTTAAAATCCAAAAGGACTCACTAATGACTCACCCTGTTTTCCTGTGATTATGCTAACGTTACATTGTGAACAATGGCAGCTTTTCTCACATTTTTACAAACTCAACCTTCTGTCTTTGTTTGTTGTCTTCACAAGTTTCAGATTGAGTAATATTGACCACCCACTTCCTCATGTCACCATCAGTCTTTGTTGTATTCATAGTCACAGACATTGTGTTTAAATTGCTCTATAAGAAAGGCTGGGGCCTTTGGGTATTTGACTGATTTATATTGGCAGATGTGGAAATGATTCCAGACTAAGAATCGGGGCAGGAGAGAGGATCTTCAGGTCAATAAGTTTTATTGTAGAAGCTGCAGTTCACAGAATAAATATACATGCTGATACCTATGGGCTCTGAGTACTGAGGGTGAGTATGTGTGGTCTGCAAAGAAAATAATAACAAAATATGTGAATAAACATGCAATAACAAAGATTACATGCTGAATGAACACTATAGAAATTTATCCTCATAACTTCCACTGTTGTTGATTTGTGGGCAAAAACCTGCAGAAAGTGTCCTGGCTTTTCTCTGCTTTGTCTCTGCTCAGCATGCAGTGAGTGCAGACACTGACAGTCATGTTAAGGCTTTCTCACATATCATCTATGCATTGCACGACTAAATTTCTATTCTTATTGTACATCCTGCAGTATAATGACTTCTCTTCTTTTCTGCGTAACCACATTAGCTTTGGTGTGAATGTGGTGATGACACTGTCTGATTCTTGATGTCATTGCAACACCTTTTACATGCGAAGAGAAACTGGCATGTTTCTGCTCAGACTCTAGTTGCAAAATAATTTTTATAGCACAATGAATAAAACCCACTCCTGTTTATTTCAGTGTTTTGTTCATTTGACTTGATTTCCCCTGTGTGCATTTGATACCTGAAGTTACTGTAGCAACATGAGGTAAAAACATCTCAAATTACATACATCTTTACTCAGCCCACAGGACACATAGTCTGAAAATTAAAAGTTGGAATACATTAGTTAAAGCTATTATAATCTCAAATAATCTTTAATACTACTTTTTACATATTTTATTTCTAGTTTAATGTAAAGCAGACTGTGAGATTGACAGTCGAATCAGGCTCCGCCCATCGAAGCATCGGATCTTTGACTATTCAGGGTCAGACCTAGATAAAACACACATTCCAAATTACTGAGTTTAGATATCGATATTTTTATATGATTATCCATCCTAGAGCACTAGAGAACTAAAACTACTGAGGTGTTTTAGTATTTTTTCATATTGGTATTTGTTACATTTAGTCAACTTTAGATAATTAATACAGACCTGAGTACAGATTAATGAACAGACAGACAGGCTTTTGTTTCTCATTTTGGATGCACACACATGCACAATTCAACTACAATTTATTAGTAGGGGAGAGCCGGGATGAATGAAACACAGCGATTTTTCTCGGAGACCGTACAAGTCTGATATGCCAAACTACCTCAGTACATACAGAACACAGTACTTAACAGAACCGGGAAAAATCAGGTGGATACGTCACACTGAGTTATACGAAAGAAGCTGTTTTCAATCAGGAAAGTAAATTCACTCAAGTGATCATTTTTCATTTTTTGTGTTTATTGTTCCATGTGCCCTGGTCATGATCACATGAATAATTAGTTAGTACTTCCTTAAGTTTTAATTGTCAGAGTTTTACAGTTTAGAAGCCAGTGAAGTTTAAACATCAGGAGTCACTGTCGGGACGATTGAAACCATTGAAACAGAATTGAAGCCATTCTACCTTATTTACATACGGCGGGAGGGGGGCAGAGCCCACCAGGCTGCTCACAGCCAAATAACAGGGTCTTCACCGTAGACCAGGAAAACATGCTGCAGATGTACATAAAAAGGGCAGCCGATATCTAATCCAAATGTGCATTAGCTGTTGAATATTCTAGTTAGCTAGCTAAGTTATATTTATACTATTTTTTATTAAGAAAAAGGACATAGTGAGTTTGCAATAACTGACACAAAAATCAGCTGGAAAAGTGTCGGTGCAGGCCACTTTGTTTGTTTCCCATTTACAGAGCCAGGGCTGAGTACAAACACTGAATTTATTTTAGTGCACAAACAGAACGGACAGCTAGCAGACCGCGAGGAGATGCTCACTGAATTTGAAAAAAAGACGTGTATTAGATTAGAATTGCACACCCCTCCTTTAAATCACAAAGTTGAACTGCAGTATTGTAGATAAAAGTATCCCATCACCTCAGCAGAGACACATGTCCGTGTGGTTTTAGGTTTGGTCACAACTTCCCCCACAGAAAGTGACTGAGCTCGAGCAAAACAGAAATAGTCTCATGAACAGAAGTGAGCGTGAAGAGAGACAAAGCTCTGCCCTCTCTTCCATCTTCTGTTGCTCTAGTAGCAGCTGTTTTTTATACATAGCTATCTATTCAACTCAAATTAGCTTTATTGGCATGAATGTGTAACAACAATTTTGCCAAAGCATCATAAATGTAAATGTTCCGTACTTGTATAGCGCCTTTACAAGTCCACTCAAAGCGCTTTTACACTACATCTGCATTCACCAGTCACACACATTCATACACTGAGCCTAAGTGCTCAAACGGAAACTAACATTCACACTCACTCGTACACTGGCATAATAGCCGCCCAAGGACACTTCGACACACAACCAGGGGGAGTCAGGGATTGAACCGCCGACCTTCCGATTAACGGCCAACCTGCTCTACCTCCTGATATCCCGCCCATATGGTCATAGTCATACGAACTACATAAGAACAATCAACCCCATACATTTCATTAAACAAGTAATTAAAGCGTTTGTGTGTGTTAAAAAAATAAAAAATATCTTTCTCTAGTGGTGTTGGTTTAAAAAAAAAATTTGGAAGTTAATGACCAAAAATTATTTCAAAATATGAAACAGTAGAAAGGAAGAACAATAAGAGGGAAAAAACCTAAAACTTCAAGACATACAGTAACGTAACATACTACATGTGCATACTAATGTAAGGATGTGAAAATTCCTCCTGTGCTCTGTGCCTGGGATCCCCTGCTGCCTCTCTCTTTAGTCCGCACCATTATGTATATAACATGTCAGCACTTTAAAGTATCTTCATGATGAGATACCACCAGGTTTGTTTGTAATTGTTCAGGTTTTTACCAATTTGTCCCTGAGATGTCTTCATTCCCCTGATTTAATAGAGATAAATTTATTTTGTATGGATGGAGTCCAACAGCAAAGTGACTTACTCTGAATAATCAAGAGAAATGGGAGGCACCTGAGCTAAATTTCAAGTGTCATAGTAAAAAGTCTAAATACTTCCGTGATATTTAAATTTTCATTTTTAATACATTTGCAAAAATGTCTTATGGGGTATTGAGTGTAGATTGATGATGGAAAGTGGAATTAAATGATTTTAACATAAGGCTGCAACATAAAATGTGAAAAAGTGAAGGAGTCTGAATACTTTCTGAAAGCACTGTGTACACACACAACACACACCTTCATCACAGTACAGGCTCTGTGAATGTAAGAACAGTGGGCATTTACTGCATAACATGCACAAATAAACACAATAAAACGTGATATGATTCAATTCAATGGTCTTGTGTTTCATGGCTGTGAAATAATTACTTATTGTTTATGTCATTTTTTAGGGACCAGGAACAAACTTTTGCAGACAGGAAGTGTAAACATTTCAAAGTTTGCTGTGGTCGAAACCACTGCAGATGTCTGAGCTTTGTGTAAAAGGGAAGGAAGAACAGACAGGCTGTACTCAGGAGGAGAAGGTAAAGAAAAAATGTGCTCTCATATTTATATGAAATGTAACTTCTCTCTTCCTGCTGCATCATTATTAATGCAAAGTAGAAACATTTGTCAGCAGCAGAGCGACAGTGTCCGTGCTGGATGTGAAGATGGGGCACACTTTGCTCTGTGTGCTGGGGTTATTCTGTGAGTACATCACTGACTTTACAATGTTGAGACTTTCAGAGGCAGACTCATGTTTTATCAACATGGTAGTTTAGTAGACATGATCTTGGTTTCTGATTTGACTTGGTTCAGAGTGCAGGACTGTTAAATACACTACTGCACTAGTTCTTTTTGCACTAATGTTTTGCACAATGCATGTTCAGATTATGGTCTGAGGTATTGTTATTGTTATATATTGTATAAAGCCTTTGAATTTAACGTACCTCTGTACCAACTAACAGAATATCATCACAGAAATGTGTGATCCTGTTGATTGATAATCAATAGTTGCCTCTGATGAAACTCCAGCTGGATTTAAATGTCTTTGCTTTTTGTCTGATGAAGTTTAATCTTTATTTTAGTGCTGAATACACTCCTCTACGGACACGCTGAAGGTGACCTATTGTCTTTTTTCTAGTTTTTACATATTGACTCTTAATCACATTCTCTTGTTGTGCTTGTATTTTCATGTATCATTTAACTCCATGTATCAAAACAAATTATGAAATGAAAAGATTACTGCCCATGAGTTTTTGTATGCCCTGAAGCTGTGCTGCAGCTGATGTATATCTACTGAAGAGTCTTTTACCTTCATACAGATGCATTTTATTTTCACACACTCATCTGATCATCTTAACAGGGCAGGATGATGATCAAGAGAGGAGCGCTGACGACTCTGTGGTGATGCAGTCAGTTACAACAGTCTGACCAAAGATTTCAATACTAATGAGTTTATATAATTACTCTGGAGGCAGTTAAAGGTCGTCTGCTGTTCAAATCCTCTCCCTCATTTAGGGTGGTGACATGGTGTGCTGGCTGCCACAGTGTGTTTTTTGGTGTTACCTCTGCTGAAGTCAGAAATTGTTGAATGCTTCACATACAGATGGTCACAAATGATAAATCAACCTAAAGTGTCTCAGTGAGGTTTTGGGACAAACCTTCAGAACAGCTTCAATGCTCCTTTGTCTCTGAACTCTGTTGGAGACGTTCAGTTGGAGTGAGATGTCGTTACTGTGAAGGAGATAACATAAGATAAACATCATTTTCATCCTCATCAAATCGTTCAGGGAGCCAGTGTGCCCTGTATGTATGTACGAGTAATAAAGTCACTCTAACTGGATCCAGCAGTTCTGTAAAGTTGTTGTCACTACTACCAAGTTTAGCTGCAACAATAAGATTTATTTATGAGCTGTGTTGATGTGATCATCATGTTTGACACTGAGTTTATATGATGTATGAATTTAAATATAAAGGCATCACTGTAAAATCACTCACGTTACCAGATGAAGTTTATGTTCATTCGATTGAATGTATTAATAAAACGCTCTTCCTCTGTTACACAGAGAGTGAAGCAATCCTGGAAGTTCCTCATTTCACTATGTTTGAAGGAGACTCAGTGACTCTGCGCTGTAGGCATCGTACTCCAGGAAATGAGATGAAAGCTTCCTTTATCAAAGATGGATCACCTCTTAAAATGGAAACAAACCATCCTTCACTCAGTTTAGTAGAAATGACCATTAATCCAGTGTCAGTGTCAGATGGAGGAACTTACAAGTGTAAATTTGATGATGGGGCAGAATCTGAAGAAAGAGAACTGAAAGTGGAAGGTGAGTAGCTGTACAGTATTATTATTTAAAATGCTACACAGAGAATAAAAAAAGTGCAAAGTGTGTCTTGTTTGGTGAGGTCGCCTAGCATCCTTAGTTGCAGATGTAGATTGGCTCTGTCAATGTCACTGGGAAGCTGAAGGTCTCCTTTGCGAAATCCACGGTAATATGCTCCCTCTGTGCGGCAATAGTCATCCAGACTTGGTCAAACCTGCGCTCGATTTCTGATCTCACTAGATCAAGTGCTTCATAAGATTCACGTTGCCACAGTGATTCGCCCTTTTCTGACATGACTTCCTCCACTGCTGTGGTGCTGCGAAAACGAGCTGGATCCTGCTGGAGTGTACGTAGCATCTCCAAAAGTGGGCCATAGGCACACACCGCCGTGTCGGAAACAGCGCAAGAATGTTACATAATCTTCATCGCCAAAAAAAAGACTTGAACACGTTTTGGCGTTTTGCTGACTCTCTGATGAGTGTGGCAACGCTCTGCACAAATGCATCTGCTACAAGACGCACATCACGTGCTACCTCTTGCAGAGCCAGATCAAGAGCATGGTTGCGGCAGTGGACAAATAACGAACCAGGACAAACCTCCTTAAGTCTTGCTTGTACTCCAGAAAAGCGACGTTACTGGCACCAACAGTAGCCTTGTAGTTTTTCCAAAGGAATGTTCAGTTGCAGGAAGATGTCATGTATGCAGAGAAAGAGGGTTTCTGATGTTGTGTCAGGTGCATTATAAAACCCCAAAAATACACTCTGCTGGGAAAGGGTTGAATACACATAAAACAAATGACAAGAGAACTGCTCAGATGACCCAGTGTCTGTTGTTCCGTCAGCGGTCAGTCCGTAGTAATGAGAGTCAGATGCCCCAGCTACTATCTTACGCTGAACAGCATGTGCAAAGCGCTCCAGTATTTCATTTTGCACTGTATCTGACATCCAGTTCTCCCTTCTGAGCATTGATTGCTGTGCTACTTAACGCGGCAATCTTGTAAAGAGCTTCAAGATGAAAACATGATTTTTCATGCTCTCTAAATTTTTCCACAGCCTTTTGCCTATTTGAGAAGCCTCCCTTCACAAATGTGGCGTCAGCTCGTGTGCGGTCTTCAATAATTAGCTTCTTTGCAACAACACAGCAACATGTGAAGCATAATACTTTATTTGTCTCTTTCACATAATGAAGCCATTTCCACTGCTGAAACCAACTTGAACTGAATGATCTTGAGAAGCTTTCTGTCCCAAAACGGCTGGATGGAAAGTTAAAATCCTTTGGCTGAAAAGGCTCGACGTGTAACTTTAGGCTGACAACAGAGCTAGCAGCCTCAACGTTAGCAGGCTGGACAGGAGGAGGACCAACGCTGGTCCTGTTGTTGGTGGAGTTGGACCCAGAATTGGTGGCAGCTGAATCCACGCTTGTGCTCGAAAGTTTGGATTTGGTAGAGTTTTTGAAAAACTCTCTCTTCAGCGACATGCTGAAATCCATTAGTGGCTACATGAGTGTGTTTGTGGGTGTGTGTAACAGAAATTACATCCGTGTGCATACTCCCTGTGATCGGCAACAGTATGTGGTTAATACACATCTTGTTTTGATTTGATTATGCCTACCCAAAAAACTTAAATCTAAAAGTGCACTCTTCTCAGAGTCAAATCCCAAATTTGTCATTATAAATATTTTATTGAAATATATTTTTAATTGCCAGCCCAGAGAAAAAGCAGAACATACAGTTAACTCAAATATGACGTCTTGACTTCCAGCAGTCACCTTTTTTTTTGTTGTTTTTTTTACACATGCAGCTGGCGCAGGATTAATAAACCAGCTGCTGCGTTGGTTTGACTGCGCCTGAACGCTTCGCTAGGAAGCTGAGCTTGAGCTACTGGGAGAGATGACTTACTGTTATTTCTCACAATATAAAAGCTGTTTGTGCTTGAAGTGTACCGTCATTCACCGGTACTGCCACTTTTACATTTTACTCTTTGACGGTACTGTTCTCTGCCCTCTCCATATCAGGTCCTCTGGGCTCCACGTGACGCTCACCTGTTCCCGTTTTCTCCTGCCTGCTAATCTCCGCAGGGAGATCAGGAGCCGTTCATGCAGCCATATGCATCAAGCTCGTCAAAGTCACATATCGCGAACCAACCAATCACAGCCAGGAGTAGGCGGGGCATTAAAAAAAAGGTTGAGGGACTACAGCAAACTTTAGAAATGCTGAACTCGTTGTTCTGTATGCACGGTTATTATTATTGACTAGGCTACTTTGCATAAACACCAAGTACAGCATTTGTCTTGAACAATAATCGAATAACTGAAAACAATTAATAATTGGAAAAAATTACTGTACGTGTACCGGCAATGCTTAGTGTCGTGCAAAGTCACCCCCCAAAGGCCCATTCTGAGCCATGAAAAACCCTGGTTGTGTTAAAGCTGTTCAATTGTATTTGTTTGTGTTCTTTATATTTTTTATTTTTTTATTATAAATTACTACATTTGATCTGTTTAGTATTTAATCTGGTTTGGATCTTAACTGGTGTTTTTATGTTAACAGTTCGAAACAGGGTTGATGTGATCCTGCAACCCAACTGGCCTCAGATATTCAGAGGAGAGACGATCACTCTCAGCTGTGAGATCCAGGATGTTGGAGACACAGAGTGGGAGTATGAATGGAGGACACCCAGCTCAGAAACACCTCCACAACACAAAGAATACAGGATCAGCAGAGCTACTGAGTCCCACAGTGGAGACTACAGCTGTAAGGGTCGAAGAGACTATTTGTTAACACAGTGGAGTGATGTCATCACATTGACAGTATCAGGTAAGTTGGACCGTCTGTGTTTTGAGGTGTGTTCATACTGAAAATATTTTTAATATGTTCATTTATCAAAACAAAACAGCAGGAAACATTTATCCAACAACAACAAAGAAGGGTCTTACAGGGAGCTCAGTAACAACTTGTGGTTGTTTTTTAATGAGGGAACAGAATAACTTTATGTTCTGTTGAATTATGATTCACAGAAATGTAGAAACAAGAACAGAGAACTGTGCAGCTGTCTTCTAATAAGTGAATAAAAATCACACTGAATCTGCTGAACTCAACAGGGCACCTTTTAGACCACATGATCACCATGGTATCCACTAAAGAAACTGCACTCAGAAGACATTAACATTAGCTAGAGCCCTATAAAGAGAGAAAATTGAAAAAATAAAGACATTCTTGATCGTCACGTGGTTCATGGAGACCGCACATAGTTCCCGGAGGCTGTATTGAAAATGAGCAAGAGAAACGACAAAATGGCAATTTTTGAATTTATATAATAAATGTATTGATTTACAGTATTTTTACAGCAAACTGACACAGCTAGTTACATTAGGCTACTATTTTTTAAAAAAAGGACATTTGACAGTAAAAGAAAGAAAGAGTGTTCCTCTTGAAAACACCATGTTTTAAAATTCAGATCAGAAGTAACTTTTTAACAGTCCTTTTAGTAATCCCATGGTACCAGGGTTATTGATCTTAATAACTAATATAATGTTTATCCTGCGGCCGCGCCTGGTGGACTCAAAAGCATTGACTATAATGGCAGCGATCAGCTCCGGTGTAGGTACCAGGGGCGAGTTCAATCTCAAAACATTTTGCACCGGTTTGCAACACTTTCGTGTCGAACGACTTGTTTCCTTGCCACGTTGCGCAAAACATTTAGCTACGTTTTGTTGGCGCTGAACTCGCCCCAGCAAGGCTGGTTCAATTTGCAGGTTTATTGAAACAGTAATTAGTCAAAACAAATGTCCAAACAAAAGGCAAGGTTATCCAGACACAGGGGTAAAGTCCAACTAAGGCAGAGTAAACCAAGAACAAAGGAACAGGCCGGAAATCCAGGAGAAAAACAGAGCAGTACGCAGAACACTCAACAACTTATTGTTAATATGTCAACTCATATGCAACAAAGACTGAGCAGAACTAAGGGCAATATATACTGGGACATGTAGGCAGGGTAATTAGTCACAGGTGAGACACATGAGGAATCAAGACAAACTTTAAACAAAGCTAGACAAAAGCACCAAACACGAATGAAATGACAAAATAAAACAGGAGTATAGATAGTGACAATACAATGAATGGTATAGGCCTATACAGAATTCGTCACCAGCACACGCAATTATTTCTTTATTAACTTAACCAGCTCAGTGTTTCTAAATAACGTCTTGTTCAACTCCAAGATCATGACATATTCAGTTAATAAAAATATTAGTGATGGTGAGATGAAGCTTCATGAAGCATTGAAGCTTTCCGTCCAATTGATTCACTCATGGTCCGAAGCTTCACGGTGCTTCATTTGCTCTACTGTCCCATCTAGTGGACAATAAATGTAAAACAGGCAGAGTGATTATAATGGCACCATGGCTTTTGTGAGTGAAGCTTTGAACTGAATAAACTCATGTATGATGTTTGTCATGCCGATACATAAATGATAAACTTATTAATATGGTGTCTGTGTCTTTATGATACAATGATAGGGTCAATGGGAACGTGGAAACAATGGAGAGGGTTATGATGTGAATGTGTTGTTTGGTTTGTGACTTTAGATAATAGAGACCACATTTATTCATTTTTATTTTTCCACAGTGCTGAGCTTCAGGCGATTTCTTCTTTTGGAGATGATTTTACCTGCTTTAGAACATTATTATTATTAGGGTAATATGGGGTAAGACGCCCCAGTTTTATTCTTACAAAAACCACTATGTCAAAAAAAAATCTTCTGGCTGCCGCAAGTCTAACTGAACTAAAAATGTCCTGTTTCATCACAAGTTGTGATAAAATAATCTGTAGATACAATCTAATTGTGTTAAATTAAAATCTGAAATAAAATTAAAAAGTCCGGAAAATGTTAATGATTGTATTTTGCTGCTCCTTTGGAATCACACACCAAACCCACGACCCATTTCCTGAATCAGTCACGTGATACGGCCGGCTCGCGAGGCTTCGAACGTCACCACATACGTCACCAACACAAGCCTCGATACGCGCTTCACAAAAATCACCCTGGATTACTCAACACGCGCCTCGAAGCCTCGATACAGACACATCACTAAAAAATATATAAAATTATAAAAATAAATCATATGTAAATAACCCTTTCATTCACTTTAATAAATCTAAAAACACATATCCCTATTACAGTTGCCTATCTGTGGACTTTTGTGAGTTGTTGATACCTTAATCCATTCATCCCCATGTTTGAACCAAGAAGCTGCTGTACTGTCTCAGTCGGAAAATTGTTGGGATGGTCAGTGAGAGAATGTTTTTAGTATTTCAAACGGTTCTCACACACAGGAACTATGTTGATGATGTGAATATGTAATCAGTGCAAACATATCCAGTAAGTATTGAGTGTTCACCAATATGGTTCAGCCACTATTGCACATTAATGTGGTATAGATAAACCTCAATTGTTGTATGAAAAATAAGCTCAAGTCGCTCTGTAGGCACATTTTGAGGCAGACCAGGCTATTGCATCATCTTTGTGCATCGTCCTCAAACCTGTAAATATTAAAGTCCTAGCTGCTGATCGAAAATATACTTAAAAGTGAGACAGGTATAATAAGTTTTAACTCTTAAACAGTATTATTTATTCTGAGGTGGTAAAATATTATTTTGAATAAATACAACATTAACAGTACCGTCTCTTCTACTCGCATCAGATTCAAAGATTGAGGAAAGAAGGGATATAGAGACTAAGAGAAGGGAAAGTGAGCGAAGACAGAAGGGATGCAGACACTGAGAGAAGAGAATTAAAATAATATAACTTTTCCTTCTATATGATATATTTCATAGGCATTTACAATCATGTGTTGTTTTCTATCACTATGGCTTCAGCATCACTACTCCTCCATCATGCAGAACCTACTGCTCTTATAGAATACATGTTTACTATGAAGATTGGTTTTATAATATATTAACATACTCATTTTAATGTTAGTTGTAAATCTCCATTTATTTCTTAAAATTTAAACCTATTTAAACTTTCCTTTTAAACTGCCTGTTTCAGTCTCTCTTTGGTCCCTTGTACTCCAAAATGGATCTTCATACAAGCCCCACTAATATAATTAACTAAATTAAAATCCCCCCACCCACCAAAAAACCACCAAATTACATTTTGAAGTATTTTATTCATACATGCACCACTAATATATTTATATTTTATTAAATACCACATATCCCATGCATCCCAAATAGCTCTGCTGTGCTAGCATTTGCTGCTAACTTCTGGGAACTACTCAGACGCTCCATGATCAACCATTGCTGTTGAAAAAATGGTCCGATGGAGTGAACGGAGATGATGCGACTCTCTCTCTAAAGGGCTCTGACATTACCTAGCTAGTTATGTGGTAACTAGTTTATTACTAACTAAGGAGAGAAAATTGTCACATGTTGCACATACATTTTTCTGAGCTAAATTCTATTAAAGCCATTTACTTGTTTTGTTTTTTCTTCTCTGAACTGAACAGCAGATAGACCTAAGCCCACACTGACAGCAGACAAAACCATTATACCAGTGAGGGGCGCTGTGACACTGAGCTGTTCTGTGGAGGGCTCTGCTGACTGGAAATACTACTGGTTCAGTCGTACATCACGCTCTTCTGGAGCTCAGCGCTTAAGGGATGGTGGAGCAGACAAAGCTATCAGAGTCTCACAAGGAGGTCTGTACCACTGCAGAGGAGGAAGAGGAGATCCAGAGACCTTCACTCGGGACAGTGATACAGTCACCATTCAGAAAACTGGTGAGTTTAGTTATTTGTTCCGGAATAATATAATATGCTTTATTTAAATATCAGTAGTGATGAAAACACTCATGTCGGTACAGTAGCAAATATCAACAGTAATGAAAAAATTAACATAGGTCTGTAGCCAGGAGCTGATCAGGTCAACTAACAGGAGGGTGTGAAGCCTTGTTTTTGGCCCCTCTTCCCCAGTCACTGAATAATGTAATAAGTAATATTGTTCAAAAACACATTTTAGAAATTGCCCACAGTATTCCTATTGAGTCCAAAAACAAACAAAAAAACTAAACCTGTAAGCCCTGTATAATATGACTACAATCATCCTATCATATCTCTGTCTGGACTCAGAACATGTGTTTCAGTTTAGTGACTTACAATCAGCTGAAAATACTGAGCTACAGCAGATCTGATTTTATCAATAGATTTTAGTCTGTAAAACCAGCAGAAAAATACCTTCCTCACTGTCTACAATTTGATTACAGTTTGAATTTCTACAGCAGTATCACCAGCACACAGAGAAGTTTTTTTATTTACTTAATAGAGTCTGTGTTTCTAAATAACATCTTATTCAGCTCCAAGATTCTGATAACTCCAAATTGTTGAAGAAATATTGTGAGCCAGGTTCAGGGAGAGAGAAATCGCGAGGCACCCTTCAATTGCCCTCCTTTGCTCAATGGTAAAACCATACACAGTGCAATGAAGCACAGTGCAAAGGATGCTGGAATAAATAAGTATAAGTATTTTGTGCAGGAGAGATGACTTGAGTTAGGTGTATTGGTATTCAGTATCTACAATATGACAATTTAACAGTATTAACAGCACTGAAATTGTCAGGTTTCAGGCAGAGAAGACCCAAACGCAGATCAGAGTTAGACAGTTTATTCAAAGAGAATCAGCAAGGGAAGTCTGAGATCTCGGGGCTAGGGCTCTCTCCAGGTCCGGGGTGTAGGGAAATCCGTGCGCTGGGAAGTGTCCAGGCTGCGGCCGGAACTGAGGCCAACATGCAGGTGGTCGCTGAGGCGGTGGGAGTCTTCTGGGAGAGACAGAGCAACAAGGGTTAACCAGATGCAACGATTCACAAGGTTCTAGGCTAGTCAAAGGTTGGCTGGGACTGACACGACATAGGCGTGGAGATCACACGATCCGGCGGGGACTGGATGTCTCAGACTCTCCTTTAAGCAGCGGTGATTGAGGAATGCAGGTCAGGTGCGCTGATTGCAGATCAGGTGAGTGCAGAGCCCGCAGCAGGCACGCCCCCAGCTCAAGGTAATATATGGTAATATAGTTGTGGCTAGCAGGCATACAAGATTTTATCATAGCTGCAACATCAGGGGTGTTACAATTGCCCCCAAGCCACATGATCCAGTGTACGCAACTTGTTTGTCTGTTTTAACATATTTTAGTAAATATAAATATAAACTACATTTAAAAAGGGATATTAGAGAGGTGGTATTATCCTTATTTTGAGATTCAAAATCTTATTTAGAGGTTGTACCAGAACAGGTTTACATGATTTAATTTTCAAAAAACACCATATTTTTTTTCATACTGCACATTGCTGCAGCTCCTCTTTTCACCCTGTGTTGAAGGCTTTATTTTAGCTATGGAGTGATACATCTGGTCTCTAAAAGATCTTTGTTGGGAGTTGCAAATGCGCAGTTCCCAGTTAAGGACTACTAGCCAATCAGAAGCAGAGAAGGGTGCGTCAGTGAGAAGCTGGTAAACGGCTTGATTCAGTTGTAGGCTACATGTTGCTGACCAGCTTGGCGAAATAAAGGAAGAGTTTCAGAGTGGAGAGTTATTAAAAGTATTTTTCATCCATAAAGTTTTAACTGAGCTCTGTCTCTACATCATAGTAACAACTTTATGTCCAGTGACTGCCTGGAGGGTAGCTAGTGTTTGGAAGGGAGAGGAGAGGTGTGTGCTGCAGCTCAGTGTTTTTGAGGGCATGTCAGGAGTAGCCGCTTGGTGAGTGTTATATGAGGCGCATTTAGCTTTCATCCCTGTGTCCTCACAGGGATGAAAGGGAAGCGGCTGGACTACAAAGGAGCTGTTTTCAGGCAGTCCAGAGCAGAATTTTCTGTGGGGACTTTGGACTTTTTCGCTTTGCAAACCTGCACAAAAAAGGTATATAACTGAAAGGGAAAAAGCCAAAAAACATAATACCACCTCTTTAAAAGAAATGTTGAAGAAATTTGTTCTAGTATAAACAAATCAGCAATTAACATAGGCCAACATTCTTTGTATAAAATAATGTGTGTTTTATATGTGTGAATAGGCCTAAGTCTGCAAAAGCAAAGTTCCTTTCATTGTCTGCATAGTGGATTTAAAGTAGTTCATTGTATAAGACCCAGCAAAACCAAAGAGAATAACTAGTTTACTTATAAAAAGCAATTTTATGAAATTAGAACAGAGAACTTAGCAAAAGATCCAAAATAATTTGAACCACATAGAAAAAAACTAAGTAACATTGTTGGCAGTAAATACTTTGAGGTAGGCTTTTACTTGAGATACAGTGGGTTAATATGACTTATTTTTCAAAATAAGTCATATTAACGATCGTTAATAATTTTCAGCACCCTAACACTGAATGCATGGCTGTCTCCCTCTCCTCATTCTTCAAAGGACGAGCGGATGTGAAGGAGAGATCGGCAGAAAGTGATGGTGAAAGTTAGCGAAGAAAAACAATTAACGTTAAGTTGTCAGGTTTCAGCTCTGTCCTGTACACATACTGTAAGTTACATCTTCATAGTTAAATTAAATAAAAAAAGGACGGTGTTGACCACGGAGGAGTTGAGGTTTGTAATGTTAAAGTGAATTAGGGATGCAAACTAGTTGTTTTACAGTTTTTCTCGGTCGCTTTGGTGCATTTCTCGAATCATCCTTAACATTTGCAAAACAGTAAGTGCATTTCTCAAACAGGTAGTGCAAACGGCACAACACAGTGGATTACCTGCAAAAGCCCATAACTTAGTCTCTGTCAAAAGCAAATCTTTATGTCATTGAACTTGAACAGTGCCATCAGAACGACAAGTCCTTGTGTCTTGTTTATGAACAAGCAAGTCAAAATGTTTCGCCATCTTGTCAATATAACCGTGTACTCTGTAAGTATTTTCTGAGTATTCTCTGTAAGTACACTCTGGCTAAGATTTTGATGACAATGATTGAAAATGCACAAGGCTGCACTTTTTTTGTCTGGCATATATCACTTTCACCAGTACAAAGTTATACATTGCAGGAGAGAGGACAGGAATCACAGCTATGCTTTTACTGTTCGAACTGTAATTTGTTCGAATTTGTGGACAGAACATGTCATTGTAATACAGAAAACAAAGAGACAGGACTGTTGCATGGGATACATCCCTTTGGCTGACGTTCCAGTCTGTTGTATCACAGATTCTCTTCCACATCACAACAGATATCTTCATCAATTCAGGGCACATTTACAAAAAAATTCAAATAGACATGTATAGAATGGTAGAAAATGGTAATTATAGTGTAGTTTATAATGTCATTGGTTAGCTCACTTGGTAGAGCACAGGGCTTATAGTCTTAAGGTTGTGTGTTCAATCCTCAAAATTTTTCTTTTTTATATTTTTATAATCCTCTATAACAAAGTTCTTATGAAAAGACTGTTTCACATGCTCACATTACTCTAAAGCATGTGCTGGACTATGTGCGTTCTTGGCAGAGGAAAGACCTTCTCATTCAGGGGAATCCATGTAATGTTACACATTTCCTGACGGCTTTCCGAACCTTTGAAATAGCCGTCGGGAACTTGCACTTGCCAGTCCCTGTATTCAGCTATGGTTTGTTATCTCGTGATCACGAGAAAATGAATTCTCAGGGGAAAACAACATTCGCTTTATATATATATATATATACAGTATATATATATACAGTATATATATATATATATATATATAAATAAAATGTTCTTGGGGGATGACCACCAAACCCCCCACACATATGTTTTACATTATACCGCCCTGTGAAATCATGTTTTAATCCCCACAGACATTATTTTTATTATTTTGTTATTTGTAAATGTACCTACTTTGCACCAGCCCGCCTCTCTCTTTCTCTCTCTCCCTGTCTTGCTTTCTCCATCAGTAGTAGTTTATGTTTTATAAAGTCGGTGAAATGACACAGAACTCGTTTTATCTAGATGTTTCCACCCGGCATGCCAGTTTGGTAATTATGTAGCCTATCAATGTCTTTGTCCATCCAGGTGTTTCATTATAGACATCGTCCAATGCCAATTTTGCAGACATCACTCAACCCTAATTTAACTACATGTGACTGCATTATCTTTGTATGTTTCACTTCCGGATGTTTTTGCCTCATTTGAAACACGTTGCTTTATAAGTTTGATTGCTTGTTTCTGAACTGCTTTTGTTGTCATGGATGTTGAGTCGTATTTGTATTATTTATTGAACCTTCATACAAAAGTCAAATTGTTGCCTGATGAAAAAACTTAGAAGTGGTGCTGAAAACATTGAGGTGTTTAAATTTCTATTAGAATCCTAACTGTGTACTTTTTGTGTGAACAGTGTCCAACAGGGCCGTTGTGACTCTCCAACCCAACTGGCTTCAGATCTTCAGTGGTGAGAAGTTCACTGTCAGATGTGAGATCCAGGGAGGAGGAGACACTAAATGGACGTATGAATGGACACCAGCCAAATTAAACAGACCTCCAACAGACAATGAATACAGGATCAGCAGAGCTACTGTGTCCCACAGTGGAGACTACAGCTGTAAGGGTAGAAGAGACTCATATTCCTCAACAGAGTGGAGTGATGTCATCACACTGACAGTATCATGTAAGTTGGACCGTCTGTCATCTGTAATGAAAATGAAAAATCTAAATAACGCAACAGAAAACTCTTATTTCTCCAACAATTATGTCGCTCTCTTCAGGTCACACAGTAACTAATGTTTGTTTTTTTAATGTGGGAACAAAATAAGTGTAAAGGAGCCAGTAATCAGAGTACTGCAGCTTTGAAAATATAATCATTCACAAATGTACAGGAATGAACAACGAATATCAAGTAACTTATAGGTGTAACGATGGTGCAGTTTAACACTGTTCACCACAGCAAGAAGGTTCTGGGTGTGAACCTAACCTTTGGCCAACTGGTTGAGTTAACTCACGATCAGTAGATCGGATGTATGATACAGTTGTCTTCCAGAAAAACACAGTGAAAGTGTTCACCTTAATCTTCAACACTAAAACACAGGTTTTCGCAAAGGTCACAAATGTAGCATTCAGTAGTGCAGTGTAAAATTATCATGTAATTTATATTTTATATTTTTAAAGGAATTCATGGAGTTTCTTGGTTTGTTCAAAGCAGGATGCAAAAGAGTCTGAAGACTTGAGCAACACATGCTTTCAGGGTCTCAAAATTCAAGTATTTGCCTATGTGCTGCACTATTTAATAAGAACTAATTCACAGAGACAGTGATTCATTTCCTTTTTTATGTCTTTGTCCTAAATCAAACAGCACAGAGACCAAAGGCTGAACTGAGCGCTGACAGGAGAGACTTTCCAGCAGGGGGCAGTGTGACCCTGAGCTGCTCTGTGAACCTGTCATCTGGTTGGAAATACTTCTGGTACAGAGGAGAGAAAACCTCTGAACCCCTGAACACACAAGATGCTGTCTTCATCTCAGATGGACAAATCAGTGTCTCACAGGGAGGACTCTACTGGTGCAGAGGAGGAAGAGGAGACCCAGTTTACTACACAGAGGACAGTGATGCAGTCGGTATCGACAAAATTAGTGAGTTTGATTTGTTTTTGAAACATAATTTAAAAACAGTTTTGAATCCATAATTATTAATTGATAAAGAGATTACATTTTGCTATAGATTTACCATTTTGTCATTTTTGTATCCTCACTATGAATTCTTGATCATAAACAGTCCCAAACAGGGCTGTTGTGACTCTGCAACCAAACTGGTCTGAAATATACTCAGGAGAGACGATCACTCTGAGATGTGAGATCAAGAACGGAGGAGACACTGAGTGGGAGTACGAGTGGAAAACAACGAGCTCATACAAACCTTTAAAAGACAGTGAATACAGGATTAAATATGCTTACTTATCCCACAGTGGAGACTACAGCTGTAAGGGTAGAAGAGACTCATATTCCTCAACAGAGTTGAGTGATGTCATCACACTGACAGTATCATGTAAGTTGGACCGTCTGTCATCTGTAATGAAAATGAAAAATCTAAATAACGCAACAGAAAACTCTTATTTCTTCAACAATTATGTCGCTCTCTTCAGGTCACACAGTAACAAAAGATGTTTGTTTTTTAATGTGGGAACAAAATAAGTGTAAAGGAGCCAGTAATCAGAGTACTGCAGCTTTTAAAATATAATCATTCACAGGGAAATGTACAGGAATGAACAACGAATATCAAGTAACTTATAGGTGTAACGATGGTGCAGTTTAACACTGTTCACCACAGCAAGAAGGTTCTGGGTGTGAACCTAACCTTTGGGCAACTGGTTGAGTTAACTCACGATCAGTAGATCGGATGTATGATACAGTTGTCTTCCAGAAAAACACAGTGAAAGTGTTCACCTTAATCTTCAACACTAAAACACAGGTTTTCGCAAAGGTCACAAATGTAGCATTCAGTAGTGCAGTGTAAAATTATCATGTAATTTATATTTTATATTTTTAAAGGAATTCATGGAGTTTCTTGGTTTGTTCAAAGCAGGATGCAAAAGAGTCTGAAGACTTGAGCAACACATGCTTTCAGGGTCTCAAAATTCAAGTATTTGCCTATGTGCTGCACTATTTAATAAGAACTAATTCACAGAGACAGTGATTCATTTCCTTTTTTATGTCTTTGTCCTAAATCAAACAGCACAGAGACCAAAGGCTGAACTGAGTGCTGACAGGAGAGACTTTCCAGCAGGGGGCAGTGTGACCCTGAGCTGCTCTGTGAACCTGTCATCTGGTTGGAAATACTTCTGGTACAGAGGAGAGAAAACCTCTGAACCCCTGAACACACAAGATGCTGTCTTCATCTCAGATGGACAAATCAGTGTCTCACAGGGAGGACTCTACTGGTGCAGAGGAGGAAGAGGAGACCCAGTTTACTACACAGAGCACAGTAATGCAGTCAGCATCAACAAAATTAGTGAGTTTGATTTGTTTTTGAAACATAATTTAAAAACAGTTTTGAATCCATAATTATTAATTGATAAAGAGATTACATTTTGCAAACAGTCCCAAACAGGGCTGTTGTGACTCTGCAACCAAACTGGTCTGAAATATACTCAGGAGAGACGATCACTCTGAGATGTGAGATTAAGGACGGAGGAGACACTGAGTGGGAGTACGAGTGGGAAACAACGAGCTCATACAAACCTTTAAAAGACAGTGAATACAGGATTAGATCTGCTTACTCATCCCACAGTGGAGACTACAGCTGTAAGGGCAGAATGAAAAGTGCACAGCAGACTTCAACAGACTGGAGTGATCCTGTCAAATTAACAGTCTCATACAGTGAGTCACATCACATTTCTCTCAAAGTGAATATTATACAGTTCGTTTAAAGGTTATGACATGTTTTTCTTCTTAAAATCCCTCTCCAACAGATAGACCCCAGCCTGTCCTCACTGTGTCTCCATCCTGGCTGAGTCCTGGAGCCTCAGTAACTCTGAGCTGCAGAGTTAAAGATCCATCTGCAGGATGGAGGTTCTTCTGGTTTAAGGCTGTTCCCAAACTATCAGGCAACTACTACGACCAAGAGCTGCTACCTGGCAGCAGCAACGGGACTGAACAGGATTCCTACATCGTTCATGGACAGACACACACAGCAGGATATAAGTGCAGAGCTGGAAGAGGAGATCCAGTGTATTACACTTCTTACAGTGAACCAAAGTTTGTCTGGTCTGCAGGTCAGTTTGTTTCTGTCTGTGCTTCTCTCAGTTAGAAAAAAATGGTAAAATGAGGCTACTTCTCACCTGATGTACTACCTCAGTAAACACTTTCATAATGAATTTATGATCTCAGTCATTAGTTTTAAGTCTTCTTCAACACAGCTTGTTGTTCAAACCCTTTCATGCATGGCGTCCACATTTGTGGTCAGTTATTCTAACTCCATTTTGGGTTACTAAATCATGGTCTCCAAGTCATTTGAGGACGGTGTCAGTTGATTGAAAGTCACATAGTAACAGTTTTCAAAATATTTATTGCTTGTTGAGCTCATCAAGCCAAGATGGACGACTGTGATGATGGCCACGTGCTAAATGTCTCCAGGCTTATTTGTGAAAAACTTTTATTCAAGGAGGTCAGTCAAGATAAAAAAATAGTAGTATGTACAGTAAAGTATTATTAAAAAGTTTATGTTTTATAAATTTAAATTTAGAGTAAAATGTAGTTTTTATACACCAAAAACCAACTTTCCACGTACAGTATGTGGACGTCATGCACCAGTGGACTGAAATGGCATCAAGTTTGATTTCTCTAACCAGCTAGTTTATCTATTCTAGTTTTTAAAATATGTGATAAATTCGATTATATTATAATAAAACAGACATTTATTAACAAATATATGAACATTAATAATTATGCAAATGTGCATATTACAGCATCAAACGGCAACTTTTGACTGCTTTGTGGCCTTTACACAAAATAAGAATAAGTATTATGCTCACATACAGCAAAGAAGTCAGTTTTAACTAGAACTATGTAATCTGTTAAATGTTGATATGAAAAAACTGAGATGATTCAACATGAAGTTAGATGAGGATAACAATAAGCTGCTGGGTTTCCGCATACATGTAACTACAGTTATCAATACCACTGTGAGTGTTTTCTAAAATATATTTTTATAGTCTTATTTTTCATTTTGAGCTTAAATAAACAGCATAACATGACATAAAAAACATAATATTCCATTTTGTCAGGTGTGGCATTTTACTCCTTTTGTTGCATGGTGTCCACATACGGGGACAGATAAATAATAAATAATAATAAATAAAAATAATAAACAGGATTTTGAAAAACATGTAAATGGATTTGTATATTAGCCCAGTTTTGAGTAATAAAAATAATATTAAATCTAGATAATTTTTATAATAATTCATGCATGAGAGGGTTAAATGCTGGTCGTATTTAGGGGACAATAGACAATAAAGCAATATATGCTTTAGAGCAGGACTATCTTGACGTCGCTACCATGGCGACCTTTCAATAAGGATAGCACTGTGTAATTTTTTTTATTAAATGGTGAGCATGTCACGTTTGAGTCTGTTAGTATGTTTTGTTTTAAAAGAAAATTGTTTTGTTTACTATTACCTTTTCATTTTTTATCATTTTAACTGCGATAAAACAAACATCTCCGACAAATAAGAGGAAAAGGTTCAAGTTCCTACTTTACAGACAACAGCAGCTGTAGTCACTTGGTTGTTTATCATTTAAAATAAAAAGTTTTCAAGGTAGAAACCAGTTTCACCAAAACACTGCACCTTGTTTTAATGTTAGCACTAATACTCAGAAATAAAGGAATATTTGCATTGTAGCATTTTAAATCTTAAGATCTCTGTTTGCTTTGACCCATTATTACATGTTGTTTTTCAGATTTTCATTCATCAGCGTCTCTCACAGTGAGTCCTGACAGAGTGCAACACTTCACCTCTGACTCTGTCTCACTGAGCTGTGAGGGAAACTCTACTGAGTGGAGAGTGAGGAGGTTTACTAAAGACCGCTACCTGTCATACTCATCATACTGCTCCTACTGGGGCACAATGACTGGATCCACATGCAGCATAAACAGTAACCAGCAGAGTGATGCAGTGTACTGGTGTGAGTCTGGATCAGGAGAGTTCAGCAACGCAGTCAACATCACTAAACAGAGTATGGTTTCATTATGTTTTCTGTTCTTTATAAATTATATTATGTGTTTCAACATACTGAATATTAGATGTTGTGTACATTTACACTGAGGAGGATGATGTACTGACAATCTGACAAGAGTTTGGCCCATTACTGCTTCATGGTATCTGAGTAATTGTAGCTAATTAGCTTAAGACTTATATAAATATATTAACATAATTTGTAAAAACTCAAGGTAATAATTTTATGGTTGCAAAGAAAACAATCAGATCTGTGATCTCTTCTCATCGTCCTCCATCCACTTATTCTGAAGTTCTGCAGCAGCTGATCTCTGACTGAAACCTCATATTCTGTTTTACAGATGAACATATTATCCTGGTGAGCCCTGTCCGTCCTGTGACTGAGGGAGATCCTGTTAGTCTCAGCTGCAAGTTGAAGAGAGAAAAATTAGTTTCAGATGTGTTTTTCTATCGAAATGACAAACTGATTCAAAATGATAGCAGAAGGGAGCTGAACATCTCTGCAGTGTTGAAGTCAGATGAGGGTTTCTACAAGTGTCAACACTCAGGAGAAGAGTCAGCACAGAGCTGGATGTCAGTTAAAGGTGAGTAGGATTAAAACAACTGCTGCATCTTCTTCTGTGTAAACTGTGTTTCTGTCTGAGAAAGAAACATGGTCAAATACTGACCTGAATCTGAAGTAGCATCAGTTTCAGCTGATTTCACCTGTTGGAGCTGGAGAAAGTCTGCATCAGTGGTTGTGACAGTCATGTTTATTGTGAATGGATAATTTCACACTGTACTCTGTTATATAGTGTACTATAAGTACTCATGTGTGTCAAAACATTACATGACATTGAGACTTGGATTTATGTTGTTTATCTACGTGCATATGTGTTTATACCTCTGCATTTGTAGATGTTTTTTTTTATGTGTTTGTATGTGTTATAGATTTGTGGCTTTACTATGCTTCATGTGACATGACTCAAAGTTATTATTTATTTGTTTTATCAGTGTCCAGGCCTGAAAGCTCTTCAGTTCCTGTACCGTTGATTGTTGGGCTGGTTTGTGGAATCGTACTTATTCTTCTTCTGCTCCTTTTGTATCGCTACAGACCGTCCAAAGGTGAGACCTTTTCTTCTTTTATTAGATATTATGTGATTTAATTATTCAAACACACGTGTTCTGATCTCATCACATAGAATAGCTGAATAACAACTTACAAAACAAAACCATGTAACAACAAATGTCTTTTTCACAGATTCCTGCTCCATCAGGTTGGTACAACACTCCCTTCTCTAATTTTGAACACAACAGCAACATTTCTTGTTCCTTTTTATATGTATTGTGTTTGATTCATGTTGTAGGCCAATCCAGTCTGAGAGCACTAATCGAGGTTCTGCTGAAAACTACTCCTCTCCTGTCCACGGTAAGCATTTAATTGATGTATATCTACACACTTTTTAAATTCACATAGTGTTTAATTTGTATCGTGCAATTAAATAGATTAATTTGACAGTGGCTGCAGGTGATGCTCCTCTCTATGAAACAATCAAAGGCTTTGAAAACACACAGAGTGGTACAGTATATACCTTTTTATCATTTTATTAACATGCACTGTAAAAGTGAAAAAAGTGTAAAAAAGTGAAAACATTTTAGATGTCAGCTTTCTTTTTGCTTGAACTGCACATCAGAATTTCCAGCAACCAGATCAAATTACTTAAAATAATATTAGTGCTGTTTTTGTATATTTCAGTTGCAGATGAGTCCCAGGATTTCACATATTCTTTGATCGAGCTTAAAAACATTGGAAAGAAGAGTGAGTACTCTAAATAAATAAATAGGAAACAGTTTAGAGATGTTTTGCCCTGAAGAGTGAAGTATTGATTTATTGTTTTTGGTTTCATCTGGTTTTCTTAACAGAGAAGCGACATGAACCAGAGGAGGTCTGTGTTTACTCTGAGGTGAACGCTGGGACTGCAGGTACAGTCAGAGACAACAGTCATGCTCAAAGTTTATCTTGAAATGTGTCGTATCATTACGCTGGAGGTAAATATGGTTCAGCATGCAGTTCAGTTAATCTCAGTGACCTTCGGTATCTACTACATACTGTCACTAGGCGTCACCAGAGCTGGAAATTGTCATGTCTCACACACATCTGGGCCTTTAGGCTCTTAAGATTTCTGTCTGTTTTGTATCAGCATGTGAATCTTATTGTGTGTTGGGTGTCGTGTGTTTCCAATATATTTTCATCCCACAGATTAAGGCATTAAAAAAACACATTATCTGAGATGTCAGTGTGGTGACAATTTGTCTGAATTTTCATTTACATTCAAAATCTGACGCCTCTGTACTTGTACTTGTACAGAGGGTAGCTCTGCTTTAATCTTGAGAAGCTGCAGAGCTGCAGTCTCTATTCATTCAGCTTACACTGTAAATTTCTAGCTAAACTGAGGCTTTTTGAAGACCCTTTTCTCTCTCCCTCACCTGTCATTCACCTGTCTTGTGTGAGGTTTGCGTGCATACAGTGCTGCCGACAACTGGTCTATTTCAAGTTGCCGGCTATTTAAAAACGAACAGTTTGAAAGTAACGTTATATTTATTTTACATTTTGTATTTATGCCTTGTTTAAGAACAGTTTACATACATCAGTAAATCCTGTGAAAGCTCTACTACTCTGCTGGTTTGAGCTCTGTGGGCGTTACAATACTGTCATTCTTTGTGTTCGTGGAGACGTTAACTCTGACAGTGTACCTGTCAGTACACTAACATTATTAATTCTGACTTTATTGGCAATTTCATCTCTCCATCTACAGGAAAATCACCTCCTGCAGCAGCTAATGAAACAGTTTATTCTGAAGTCAAACCAGGAACAGCTCTTGGTAATAAAGCTGCCATATGATGATCATACTGTAATGATTTATTCTGCAGATAATTAAATGGGTATATTTCAAAATAACACGTCAGACAGCATCCTTACATCGTGAATAAACCTATAGCTTGACATTTTGTTGTTTTTCTTCCAGGTCTGTAAAGAGAGCTGAGTTGGTAAAGAAAAATGGTCGACAGCATTTTATAAACTTACTGTGTGGACGTCTGCTTTCAAACATGAGACGTGTTCAGTGTTTTGTTGTTAATTTATCAGCAGATTATAAAAAAAATTACATCATGTGGATTTAATTACTTTCTATTTTAGCACAAAGCACAAGTACTACTGATATGTATTTTGATTTAGTATTTATGGGCTGCATATTATTAGTTTTCATTTTGTCATTTATTTTCAACTCTTCTTTAAGTTTGCTACAGTATGTTTGAGCTTTAGTACCCAGGTGATTATAGTCAGCGTCTTTTTCAGAGTTGAATGAGAAAGATCAAGTTCAACAGTTACTTTATGTCATGATCTGCTATCGAACAACATATCCTCACATGTAAATGTTTTTCTCTTCAAAAATATATTTGTGAAAGTTTTCAGGGACTATTTCTTGGTAGAAATTTTTTCCACTCAAAACTGTTTATTATTCAGAGTAACTGAGACATTTGCTCTGAAAAGACATGTTGATGTTATTCTACTCATTTAAACTCAGTGCATCTTTATTGTGACAGAGTGAAGGCAGAAATAAGAATTTCCAGGGTCTCATTTATAAAACTGTGCTTACAATCCTCACTAAAAATCTATGTACTCCCAAAAGCTTAAAATGGCGTACACCAAAAAATATTCAGACTTCTAAAACCGTGCATAGCACACTTGTAAGCAAGTTCCCTTTATAAATCATGTAAATCAACGCCCATGGTTGCCTATAAATGGTCAGTGAAACGCCCTTCATTAATATTAGTACTTCCTGACTGCAGGAAGAAAAGGAGGTAAATTCTGATAGAAAAGCTACAAAATGAAATTTTACTCAGTGTGACACTGACGTTCCTTTTGGCGAAGCTGAAGTTGTTTAGTGGGTAAAAAACGGACATGTTATAATTTTTATGGCGCTGCTGAAAAATAGTGTTTCTGTGACGGGCACCACTGATTACTGTACAAAAGCACAACTTTATTCACCGATTTTACATCAGACATGGAAAATATTTGCTGGTTTTCTCTCTGATGTTTCCTGGTGCGCTGCCTCAACTCTGTTATTTACGAGTTCCGTACTGGACATACAGTGGGGGAAAGAAGTATTTGACCCCTTGCTGATTTTGCAGGTTTGCCCACTTACAAAGAATGCAACAATCTACAATTTTAATCATATGTACATTCTAACAGTGAAAGACAGAATCCCAAAGAAAATTCCAGAAAATCACATCATATGAATTTATAAAAATTGATAACCATCTGATGAGGAAAAACAAGTATATGACCCCCTACCAAACAGCAAGTATTCTGGCTCCTACAAGCCAGTTAGTCTTTCTTTAAGCCCCAATCCCAACCAATTATCTACATCAAATACACCTGCCTCACCTCGTTACCTGTATAAAAGACACCTGTCACCTGACCAAAATAGAACTTTTTGGCCTCAACTCAACTCGTCGTGTTTGGAGGGCAAAGAACACCGAGTACAACCCAAAGAACACCATCCCCACCGTCAAGCATGGTGGTGGCAACATTATGCTTTGGGGGTGCTTTTCAGCCAAGGGGACGGGACAACTCCATCGTATTGAGGGGAGGATGGACGGGGCCATGTATCGTGGAATTCTGGACCAACATCTCCTTCCCTCAGTGAGAGAGCTGAAGATGGGTCGAGGATGGGTGTTTCAGCACGACAACGACCCTAAGCACACCGCCAAAGCAACAAAAGAGTGGCTGAAGAAGAAGCACATCAAGGTTCTGGAGTGGCCTAGCCAGTCTCCAGACCTGAATCCAATTGAAAATCTTTGGAGGGAGCTTAAAATTCGAGTTGCCAGGCGACAACCTCGGAACCTGAATGATTTGGAGGCTGTCTGCAGGGAGGAGTGGGCCAACATCCCTGCCGAAATGTGCACAAACCTTGTCACCAACAATAAAAACCGTTTGACATCTGTGCTGGCCAATAATGGCTTTTCTACAAAATATTAACATGCTGTTTGTCCAGGGGGTCAAATACTTGTTTTTCCTCATCAGATGGTTATCAATTTTAATAAATTCATATGATGTGATTTTCTGGAATTTTCTTTGGGATTCTGTCTTTCACTGTTAGAATGTACATATGATTAAAATTGTAGATTGTTGCATTCTTTGTAAGTGGGCAAACCTGCAAAATCAGCAAGGGGTCAAATACTTATTTCCCCCACTGTAAGTTATAGCTTTGCTTGTTGCTGTAGCAAGTTAGCTAACTGCTGCTAACTAGCTGCCATTATCTAATTAGCTCAGTTAGCCTGCAGCTACTGGTCAAATTAGCTTACTCTGCCCGTCCTGGGAGCTCGGCACACCAGAGTGTGTGTGTTTAGGTTTATATCTTTACTCAAGCACTGGAGGTCTTCAGGCCAGGGGTGCGACGAAACTGCATTCAGCAGCCTCCAAGTGAACACGGCATAAACAGGACCAAACACAGCCTCATTAGTTGACTCAGCCCCGGGGTGACAAGAGCCAAACCGGCAAGAAAACCACCTTCGTACTGCATTCCCAGTAGTCAGACAGGCCTCCGTCGGTCTTGGGGCTGTGTGCGGTCTAGGGTCCGGCTGCGAGCTGGATTTGGACCGCAGAGTCTGCATGATGGGGTGAGCCATAAGCACATTCAACTATTGGCTACACGCCGATCAATATCTGCAACAGATCCCTCCCTAGCTTTGTGTTTTTACAGGAAACAGACATGTAAATAGCAAATAGCACTACATTTTCTGTTTCACGGAAATTTTCTGCTTCAAGTAATCCCTGTGATCAATCCCCGTTTTTACAAAATGTACCTGTAATCTGATTACGTCTTTATTTTCTGTACTGTAACGGAATACAGTTACTTTGTTTTTGTATCCTGATTACGAAACGGCATTACATGTAATCCGTTACTCCCCAAACCTGCCTGCGACCAGACTTCTGCCTCTCCAGAACCACAGTCGACATCCTCCGCCCTCCACTTGGCCATGGCTGGGGTCAAGATCTAGAAGTCCTTGTGTCCCTGTTTTGACTGACAAGTGCAACATCTTACCGTGTCGTCTGAAGAACGTTTGGCATCTCACGTTCCTCAGTCAATGATATCGTCCACAGGGTTGCAACCAAAATAATCAAAAACAGGCTCATCTGCTTTCCACCACCTCATGAGCTGGATACAACTGGTGCTGGCTTTGCACGTCTGGCTGGATCTGCAGCATTCGCCAGGGTTGTGGGCATCATCAATGTCACATCAGAGTCAAGCACCCAAGTGCAGATACTCAGTGCTATTATAACTGGAAATTGTTTCATTCTGTCCAGATGCAAGCAGTGTGTGACCACCAGTGTCAGTTCCTGGACATATTTGTTGGCTGCAGGCTCAGTCCACGATTCAAGAGTTTTGAAAAAAGCCCTTTGTATGTGCGTTCACTGTTCACCTGAAGGCTATTGTATTCTGGGGGATGGTGGATACCCGTGTATGTCACAGCCCATCACGCTCATCACACCATACAGTGAGCCAGTGAGGAGTGCAGTTGCCGTGAGGATTAACAGTCACCATGCTAAGGCCTCCTTCTGTGGTTGAAAGGGCTTTTGGCATAATGAAGACCAGGTGGCGGTCCATATTTTTCAAGGCTCTAGAAGTGATTGAGCCTGTGGAAGAAGCACTGGGGCCAGAAGACGAAGGTGGTCAGCTTCAGCAAGACCAGCACTGTGGGGAGCAGCTGCGTCGGCACATTAATGATGGGGCAGTGGATAAGACGCCTACCTTTGGTGTGAGAGACTTGGGTTCAATTCCCCACTGTGACACATCTACCATTGCGTCCCTGAGCAGGACACTTAACCCCTAGTTGCTCCAGAGGCGTGCAACTTCTGACATAATTAGCAGTTGTAAGTTGCTTTGGATAAAAGCAGATTTAAATATAATGTAAATTGTTGTTAACCAATTGAAAAGTTGTTTTGTCAAAATTTGATTTGTAGATCTTAATTCTCATATGTCAGTGCTCATTATTATTTTTTTTAAAACACAACAAATATTTATTTTTTGTCTCTACATTTTTTATTTTTTACATCTTCTCCACTATTTTTTTCCAGAAGAGTTAGCAATCTCTCCCCCCTGGCCTCGTCTCGCCTGGCCCTCTCCTCTGCCCTCTCAAGCAGCTCCAGGACAGCGTCACGCCGTTGCCTTTTAGGCGGTGGCCCTGGCTCCTCTACCCCTGACACACTTTCTGGCTCAGATGGCACTGAATCAGGGGATGCTGATGTGGACATGGAAGGGTTCTCTCCCCAGGCTGAGGCAATGAGGCATGGAGGTTGTATAGATGGCCTACCACCTATTGTCTCTGAGAGAGAACCACTTCCATGTTCCAGCAGTGGCCTCCCCTGATTCAGTGCCACTTCCTGTTGGTAGACTCCTGAGCTCCTGCACACATTGCACAGTGTTTCCCACACATAGGCTTTACTTGAGTGGGCCGCCGAGGTAGATTAACAGCCGCCCAGGTAAATTTGGCGACCCATTTTAAAATCGTTTTTGATTGCAGCGTTGCGCAGCACACATTCGCACCGCAAATCCTCTCTCTCTCTCGCAAATACGGACCCCTATGAACTGAATGGTTGGTACCAGAAACAACGCATCACTATCAATGTTGGAGACCAATCTTCAAAACAGTTATTAGCCAGCATGTAATAGTCTAGCTAATAAGGATATAATTATATTAGCTTTGGAAAACAGCTGTCGAAGTTACCACGCTGTATTACTGGTAGGCAATAGGTGCGTTCGAGATAACTGGCTGACTTTCGCCGACTTCATAGTCTAACGTGAGCTGCAGGTGAATGCAGGGGAATAAAAACAGCACCGTCAAGTCAGACACAATCTACCAACGGTAGACTGCGTGAGCAGAGAACAATGATCAGGCCTTGCTCCCACGAGGTCTAGTGATGTTTTGCAGAGCAGGTGTTGTGCCGAATTCTGCATGCCTGCCGTGAACTGCATACACCTTGCGGGAGGTAACGCTCTTTTATGCTTAGAAAAGAGGTGGGTGCAAATCTCGGCAGGTAGCCTACAACATCTGTCTTGCTGAATTGTGTATTCACTTCTTAAGGTCCTTTTCAACACTGCTCACATTGTTTAAACGCGGTTAACACATATGTTTTTGCTGAAATTCCAGGAATGGTACTTTTACTCTTTTTTTTTCACTAAGTGTAATTGATCATTTATCACTAGGCCTATTGATGACCCCCACAAAGAATTGTATAGTGTTTAAAAGCAGATTTTTTTAATGCATTTTCATGCAATTCTCGGCAGGCATGCAGAATTCGGCACAACACCTGTAAAAGTCGACTGCAGTGCATAAAATAATAACACTTTAATATTACCATAAAGGGCGGAATTGCGGTCTCTAGTATATTACAGACCCCCATAA